GAAGCAGGTAGTGACACTTTCCTAGGTCAGGTACAAAGCCAGTATGTTAACAACTAAGCTAGGTGAGCACATCCAGGGAAGACACCTCTGTCACGGCAGCTTCCAAGCTGCCTCTGGTCTCAGATAAAACTTGATGACACAGCAGAGCATGCCCAGAGGCATTTCCATCCATCATTTTAAATCTTTAAGAAAATTAAAATCACATTTTTTGATTGTTCATTTATTGTGAGTACCAGTAAAAGTCAGAGGTCAACTTGAGCAAGTCTGTTCTCTACTTCTGCCACGTGGGTCCTGGGAATTGAACACAGGACATCAGGTTTGGCAGCAAGTGCCTTTCCCTGAGTCACCTCCCAGCCTAGGCGTAGACTTTTGATTATCAGTTTCAACCCAAAGAAGAACTCACCAGCAGTTCAATTTGATCAAAGTTAAGGCTCTCTGCTTTTCATCTGCAGTGGGAAGCAATGTCTCTTGTGTCTTCTGACTATGAAACCCCGAGATGAAAGCAGTTGTTACACAGCGAAGAATGTGTCATAAGGTGACATGTTCCCATTGGGCTCAAGTCCTGTCTCAGTGATTGTGTCAATTGCTGTGATAAAACACCGACCCAAAGCAACCCGGGGAGAAGGGGTTTATTGCAGCTTACAGTTGGTAGTCCACCATCCAGAGAAGGCAGGGCAGGAATTCGAGACAGAGGTTGATGCAAAGGCCATGGAAGGGTGCTGCTTACTGGCTTGCTCCCCATGGTTTGCTTATAGAACCCTGGGCCACCAAAGGTGGCACCACCCACAGTGAACTGGACCCTTTCACATCAATTATCAGTCACAAAAACACCCTGAAAGGCTTGCCTGTGGGCCAGTGGGCCGGGGATGGGGGGAGCAGTTTCTCAACTGAGGTTTCTTCTTCCAAAGTGACTCTAGCTGTGTCAAGTTGACACAGAGCTGGCCAGCCAGTCCCTTGATGTTTTGGTGTCTCAGTTCCCTTGACTCTTTTTTTAAGATTCATTTATTTATGTGCATTGGTGTTTTGTGCCTGTGTGTATGTCTGTGAGGGTGTCAGATCCTCTGGAACTGGAGGTACAGACAGTTGTGAGCTGCCATGTGGGCGCCTGAACTGAACCTGGGTCCTCTGGGAGAGCAGCCAGTGCTCCCAAGCGTTGAGCCATCTCTCCAGCCCATCCCTTGACTCTTTCACCAGGGCAGGGTGGCTCTCTGTCACTTTGAAGATAAGGCATTTGTTTATCAAATCATTCTGTCCATCATTCACCTAACATGCTTTTTGTTTTTAATTTTATTTGCATTGGTGTTTTGCCTGCATGTCTGTGTGAGGGGGTCAGATCTTGGAGTTGCAGACAGTTGTGAGCTGCCATGTGGGTGCTGGGAATTGAACCCAGGACCTCTGGAAGAGCAGCCAGTGCTCTTAACCGCTGAGTCATCCCTCCAGTCCTCAAACATGCTTTAACCCTTGTTCTACTTCAGATAAATACAACTTGCCAATAAACACCAGAAGGGCACCTAAGCTAGCCTAGGTCGGGTCAGAGTAGAAGCCAATGCTTCCAGAGGGAATGACGCCTGAGGTGACAGCAGACTGTGAGTAGGATTAGCCAGGCAAAGAGGGAAATGCAGTCCAGGCGGGGCCAGTGAGAAGAGTATGTGACCCAGCCAAGAAACAGAAAGATATGATCATGGCAGAAGGTTTGGGTCTGCCAGGACCTTGGCAAGACCAACACCAAGAGGTGGGAAGTGCTGGGCATATCTCCTGGGATAACCTGGGATGTTCACATTGAAGACAGTGGGGACCGTAAGGAGAGAAGGAACATGAGGAAATCCCCTTTGTATCTCCTAAGACCTACTAAGGGCAGAAGTGGAGGGATCGTGGGACAGCGTGGGCCATGTGAATGGATGGATGCCATCTTTCTGACTTCTTATTTCCTGTTGTCTTGTGGATGGCATTTACAGGACACGTTTGGCAGTGACTATAGACGTTCTTGGTTGGCACGCTGCTGGGCTGTAGAAGTTAGAAGCCAGGTGACATTGCTCACATTCTACAGTTCAGGGGATGGTCCCCAGTCCCAACACAGAATTACCAGCCTCAAATGGGAATGGAATCAGTGGCAGGCCCTTCTTCTCAGAATGTGATGACCAGGAAACCGTCAGTAGTGGCGACAGTGTAGGCTACTTACCTTGGTGCTGTGACCAAATACCACCAAGAAGCAACCTAAGGGGGAAGGATTTATTTTGGCTCACGGTTTGCAGGGACACCGTCCATCGCGGTGGGAAAGCATGGCCTCCAGCAGCTCTCTGGCAGCAGGGGTGTGTGGCGGCTCTTTGTTCACTTTTCAGTGGGCCACGAGGTTGAGAGCTTGGAAATGGAGCTGGCTTGTAGCCCACAAGGCCCAACCCCCGGAACTTACTTCCACCAGCTGTCTCCCCCTAAAAGGATCTATGATCTCCTAGAACAGGACCGTCATGGGGGGTGCGGGTGTTTGACCCCATGAGCTTGTGGGGGCCATGTCACATTCCAGTTGTGACAACACCACTGGGAAGTTTGTCAGAATTGCAGAATCCCAGTCCTCATCCCATAGCCACAGCCACTAAATCGCGCGCATGCGTGTGTGTGTGTGTGTGTGTGTGTGTGTGTGTGTGTGTGCTCATGTGTGCATGCTCATGTGTGCATGCCAGGGGATGGAATCCAGGCCCTTGCATCTTCTAGGCAAGCATTCTTCCACCAATCTACATTCTCAGCATTTTAAAATAAAGATTTTGTTTATTTTTATGCATATCGCTGTTTTGTCTGAATATACGTTTGTGCACCACATCAGCATGCTGAGGCCAGAGCCCCTAAAACTGGAATTACAGATGGGTGTGAGCCACCCTGTGGGTCCTCAGAACTGAACCTGAAGTTCTGAAGGACCTTCTCTAGAAGAGCAGCCAGGGCTCCTGACCGCTGAGTCATCTCTCCAGCCCCTCTTCTTGGCGTTTTAAATGTTTCCTGGGAGGGGGGTGTGAATGTGCCTTTAGGGCATCTTTAAGTGAGCCTCCCTGTCCACTCCCTTTGGTGGCCCCGATGTCCAGGACCTGTGGCAGAATCGGGAGGGACTATGGGTCTTCCTTACAGATCTACTCACAACACCGCCTTTGTCCTCAGGTGTGTTTGAACCGCATGCTGCAGATCCAGAACCCCGGGGGGACCCACTACACCTTCGGCTTGCCGGGCGTGCTAGGAGCAGTCACCTACATTCTGCTGAAAACTAGGAAGAACAGCTACTCCATATTCGAGTGGGTGCCTTGGCCTCTTCCCTTAACCTTCGTCCACCTTGGGAGGAAACGTACCCAGAGCCAACTAATTCAGAAAACCTTTTTTTTTTTTTTTTTAAATTATTAAATTTAAACAGGGTAAGCCAGGTATGATGGTGCAGGCCTTTAGTCCCAGCAGAGGAAGAGGCAGGCAGAGTTCTGTGAGTTCCAGGCCAGCCAGGGTTGTTACATAGAGGGACCCTGTCTCGGGGATAAAAAAAAAAAATTCAGACAGGGTCTTACAAGAATGTCGTTCAGACTGGCCTGGCTCATGCCTTAGCCTCCTGGGTGCTGGAATTACAGGTGTGAGCCACATCTAGCTTCAGCTTCAGAAATGTTCCTAACCTATACTTTGTAAGGCACTACCAGCTCTCCAGGCCAAAAATCTTCTCAAAAAGGGGGCAGCTGAAGAGCAGGGCACAGGTGTACCTGTTTTTGAGGCAGCAGGTCGATAGGACAGCCATGGTGGTTGAAGTCAAAGTGATAAGTTTTACTATGGAGTCAAGAGTGGGATCGAAGCCATTCCTGGGGGTGGTAGAGAAGGCTTTGGGGGGCAGAGAAGCGAAAACTGTATCCAGTGCTCCCAGGTTCTTGTAATTGTCACAGAGTTCAGAGAGAACGGCTGAGCAAGGAGTGCCGTTTTATTACAAGCTGAAGTGCGCAGGCAAGGGTGATGCTCCAGCAGGCTGAGCCTGCCTTCTGCTTTCTGTCTGTGGAGTGTTGAGCCAGGCAAGAGGAGCGAGCGGTGCCCAAAGAGGCTCCATTAGGAGAGGGGACGTGGCTCAGCCAGCCGAGTGTTTTCATCCTCCAGCACAAAGGCTGGCTGTGGCGCACACATCTGGAATCCCAGAACTTGGGAGCTGGAGGCAGGAGGACCAAGAGTTCCAAGTCATCTTCCGCCTGGTAGAGGTAGAGTCTACCACAGAGCCTGTGGGAGGCCATCCTGGGTTAATGGGATCTGAAGCAGGAAAAGGTGGGTTGTTCAAGGCCTCCGACTGTAGGATGACACAGAGGAGCCAGTGCTGGTTAGGCTTGGGCTGACCCGTGGAGTGTGGGGACTTTAATGTGCCAAAGAGGGCTGTGGAGCCTCTCCTGTCCCAACGACATCTGCGTAGCTCTACAGGGACGTGGTTTCTTCACAGCCCTTCTTGGCCATGTCACCACTAATGCCACCTGCCACGTTTGTCCCCGGTGCCTGCAGCCTGATGCCTGAGCGGCCTCTCTGCTTTGTGCATTTCAGTGTAAACCAGATGATCATTGACTTCGGGGCTCTCAGCTTTGCTCTGGCGATGGGAATGGCGGCTGGACTCCTAACAGGTCGGTGCAGTACAGGCTTTTATCCACTAGAGGGCGCTGTGGCACACGTGTGCATGCTTGGCCCCTTCCTCTGGAACTCACCCCCCAGTTCCAGCCTTTCTCTGTGTTCCCCTGGCTGTCCTGGAACGCATT